ACAGAGGGTATATATAGGCTCAGAGTGAGGTGCAATACTTGTGGTAGTAGTAGTAGTAGTAGTAGTAGTAGTAGTAGTAGTAGTGACAAAAGTTGTTGTGGTAGTAGTAATACAATATGGTAGAGCAATTAATTTGTACATGAGTAAAAGGATATAAAAGCTATTACTTGGGTAACATAAAAATAGGTTGGACAAATATAGACTGGATAGAGGCAGCCTATTTTTCTACAGTTACTCCCCAGTGTTTGACTAGAGAAAACGTAATTCTTCCGACACTACCTACACAGCCACTTTGTAAACAAATCTTATATTTACATCAATTTTTATTCTGTGAGTGTATGTATCATGTTTATATACTATGTAATGGGTTTCATATATAATTTTGAGGAAAATATCATAGATGGATTAATGAAAATGCCTATATTGATGTAAAATAAGACATTTAGTGTGCCCAAGAGTGATTACAGTGGACCCCCGCTTAACGATCACCTCCAAATGCGACCAATTATGTAAGTGCGTTTGTACGTGTATGTTTGGGGGTCTAAAATGGACTAATCTACTTCGCAATATTCCTTATGGGAACAAATTTGGTCAGTACTGGCACCTGAACATACTTCTGGAATGAAAAAATATCGTTAACCGGGGGTTCACTGTATTATTACATAGTACTGGCGTCATGAGTAGAGAGAGACGTAACAATTTTAATGTGTACCTTCACACCAGCACGGTGTGTAAGTATATTTAGGTACAGGTACACGTAAGTATAATTATCAGAGTACATACAAAATATGCAGTAACTTTAAAACACTTGAAATTTTGGAAAGTTTCCTGACATAATAGATGTGGTCACGGAAAATGTAAACAAACCGGGTGGGGGGCGCCGTATTTGAAAGACTGCTTGCCGTATAGCAAATTTTGGTCATAATTTGACATCGCCGTATTAGCAGAATGCCGTAAAGTGAAACGCCGTAAAGCGGGGCCTTACTGTATACAGGGTATGATATAGCATGTAATGAAAGTTTGTTAGATTTTGTATTGGTGGATAAAAGGTGATGGATAGAATTCAGGATGTACATGTTTATAGAGGGGCAAGTGATATATCGGATCATTATTTAGTTGTAGCTACAGTTAGACTAAGAGGTAGATGGGAAAAAGGGAAAATGGCAACAGCAAGTAAGAGAGAGGTGAAAGTGTATAAACTAAGGGAGGAGGAAGTTAGGGTGAGATATAAGCAACTATTGGCAGAGAGGTGGGCTACTGCAAGTATGAGTAGTGTAGGGGTTGAAGAGGGTTGGAATAGTTTTAAAAATGCAGTATTAGAATGTGGGGCAGAAGTTTACATTGAAGCATATATGTGAAGAGTATTTATATAAAGGTAGGGAAGTTTTCATTGCATTTATGGATTTAGAAAAGGCATATGATAGTGTGGATAGAGGAGCAGTGTGGCAGATGTTGCAAGTATATGGAATAGGTGGTAAGTTACTAAATGCTGTAAAGAGTTTTTATGAGGATAGTGAGGCTCAGGTTAGGGTGTGTAGAAGAGAGGGAGACTACTTCCCAGTAAAAGTAGGTTTTAGACAGGGATGTGTAATGTCACCATTGTTGTTTAATATTTTTATAGATGGGGTTGTAAAAGAAGTAAATGCTAGGGTGTTGGGGAGAGGGGTGGGATTAAATTATGGGAAATCAAATAAAAATGGGAATTGACACAGTTACTTTTTTGCTGATGATACTGTGCTTATGGGAGATTCTAAAGAAAAATTGCAAAGGTTAGTGGATGAGTTTGGGAGGGTGTGTAAAGGTAGAAAGTTAAAAGTGAACATGGATAAGAGTAAGGTGATGAGGGTATCAAATGATTTAGATAAAGAAAAATTGGATATCACATTGGAGAGAGGGAGTATGGAAGAAGTGAATGGGTTTGGGAACGATTAGATTAACCATAGAATTGATGAAAGAAAAAGGTGAGTGGTGCATTGAGGTATCTGTGGAAACAAAAAAACATTATCCACGGAGGCAAAGAAAGGAATGTACGAAAGTATAGTGGTACCAACACTTTTATATGGGTGTGAAGCTGGGTTTCAAATGCTGCAGCGTGGAGGTGCTGGAGGCAGTGGAGATGTCCTGTATAAGGGCAATGTGTGGTGTAAATATTATGCAGAGAATTTGGAGTGTGGAAATTAGGAAGAGTTGTGGAGCTACTAAAAGTATCAGAGGGCTGAAGAGGGGTTGTTGAAGTGGTTTGATCATTTAGAGAGAATGGATCAAAGTAGAATTACTTGGAGAGTGTATAAATCTGTAGGGAAATGGTTGGAGGGAGGGGGTAAAGGAGGTTTTGTTGGCGAGGGGCTTTGGCTTCCAGCAAGCATGTGAGAGCGTGTTAGGTAAGAGTGAATGGAGACGAATGGTTTTTGGGACCTGACAAGCTGTTGGAGTGTGAGCAGGGTAATATTTTGTGAAGGGATTCAGGGAAACTGGTTAGCTAGACATGAGTCCTGGAGGAGTTTGGGATATTGGCAGTTTGGAGGGACTTTTAAACTGTCGTATCTGAGCGCCTCTGCTGAGATAGTGATTATGCACAAGTGAGGTGAAAGTGTTGAATGATGATGAAGGCATTTTGTTTTTGGGGATTTTCTTTCTTTTTGGATCACCCTGTCTCGGTGAGACCCGACCGACATGTTAAAAAAAAAAACTATGGTTTTACATACAAACTAGGGCATATGAAAACTGATTTTCCACTGTATTTTATTATTATTTATCTTGCTTAATTTCCTATCTTCAATACTCAAAATCTGATTTATACTGAGGCATCTTAAGTTTTTCATTTTAATATTTACATGAGATTTTAGTTGCTGATCATCTAATGATGTTACCATAAAAACAGTTATACCAAAAACAAATACTTTCTGACTCTAGGTATAGAGAGGGTTAGTGTTAGACTGTTATGCAGTAGCCTGCATAACAGTCAGTAACTGACTGTTTTTTTGTAGAGTGCAGGCAGTGTCATACACTAAAAAGAGAAACATCTACTGTACCTAGTTTTCTTCCTCTTTGTTTTTTAACTTTTGCTTTGTATATGTCGATAAAATACGTGTGCACGTATGTGTACGCAATATTAAGTTTTATTAAGTGAATTGCAGTGAAATATGCAAATTTCTTTTGAATAGTTTTTGAAGTGCATCTCAAGTTGTTTGGGCTTTGTTTTATTACCACTGTTTGTTTTACATCTGTTTGTAGCTCAGCCAAGATAGTAAAATTTTATTATTTGTCCTGGACCCATGCAGTTTTTGGCTTGAGAAATTGTACAGTGAAGGCAATTTTATATTTAATTACCTTCATTGGAGACATTGAATTTTGATGTTTCATGAATGTGACTTGGCAGAGACATTGTTATTGCCTAGCACTTTGGTGTTTCACAGTAGTGAAGTTACGACTGTTTGATACCCTTGTAAATTTATTTATGAATGTTGACACATTTTCTAGACTTCCCTTTAAAAGTTGTATCTTGCTGTTAACTTGACCACATACCTGAGTCATGGTGCCTACTTGTCATAATAGGTCATTAAAAAAAACAAACTACTAACAAAGACAAAGAACCGGTATCCACAATTAACCTATGTTTTGTATAGGAAACTTTAGATAAGTGAGATAGAGAAAAGAGTGGGAAAGCCAGAAGATAAGTCTGGTGAAGAGGTGAGGAGAAAACCATAGTACAGGTCAGGTGAAGAGGTGAGAGAACTATAGTACAGATCAGGTAATGAAGTGAGAAAGCCATGATACAAGTCAGGTGAAGAGGTGATGAGAAAACCATAATAGGTCAGGTGAAGAGGTAAGAAGAAAGCCATAACATAGGTTAGGTGAAGAAATGAGGAGAAAGCCAGGGTCAGGTCATATTACAAACTGACCTTGACTTTCTCCTCGCTTTGTCATTAGACACTGGCAGCTTAAAAATTGTCCAGAATGCACTGAAACTTCATCTTAAATTTTCTCTCCAGATTTTGGGTTGGTTGTGAATGGTTCCAGTCATGGTGTTAAAGTGTTCAAGTGGTGTATGACAATGGTGCTTTGTTCTTTGTCTTTGTTAATAGAGCTTTTCTTATCTATTTTCATGTTGTGAAATTATAAGGATAAGCTTTTATTTTACTTAACCATAAGAAATTTTGTTTAGAGAATGTAAAAAAAAATCACAATTATAAATGCAGTTACTATGTCACAGAGTTGCAGATCCACTTTGGAGAATTTTACTTTGGAAAACTAGTGATGCAGTCAGCAAAAATATGGTTTATTGCTGATTTACTCCAAGTTGGTGAATATGTGTGCATGTGAGAGTGGCATCAAAATGTGTCACCTGGGACTGTAGGATACACACAACCTCAGTCACTGTCAAATTACATCACAAGTCAAATTATATAATCTTTGATATTGTGCCTGCCAATTATATGCAATGTACTTACAGTACACAGTGCTGTATTAGGCATCCTTTGGCATTTCAGTATATGAAAAATACAATATGTAATAGCCAGTCATGTCTGAATGGAATATTCTTTTCTAAATCTCCAAAAATAGCAATAAAAGCGTTTTCTTTGCTTTGTGACTGGCTTGCTTTAGACTTTTAAGCAGTTTAGTTTAGTGCCTCCTTTATCCCTAGGTCATTGCAAGAGCATCCATTGGTAATAATTATACTTTTGTTTACACTTACCAATACAGTGAACATAGAAGAACATTTTTTGTTGTATTTACTTTTTTATTTAGCTGCTATTAAATTATATTCATAAAACCCTATCACTGTATAGTTGTTTTTGAAGTTGAATTTACTTTAATAGGATGTTATAATTTCATTTGCACATATTTGAAGTTAAGTAGAAATTAATAAGTAATGCAAGTCAAATGCACAAGTAAAATCCCTCTGAGTAAACAGCATATTCTTGACAATACAACCTGGGTACGTCATAGACTTTCTCGGCAAGCCCGATACTGATGGTTAGTCACCTTGTGCCTCGCAGGTCCACTAGGCAACGGGGAAAACGTGAACGTGTCTAACCCATTTGATGATCAGTGTCAGTACTCGCGATCTTACCATAACTCGTATTCTCGTACTCAGGGTAAGGGCCGTAGTGTCGGGTGTGCTCGTTCTACCCAACCCTTTGTGCATTGGTTGGTGCGTTTGAAATATGTAGGGCTATTTAGATGCTTCATAGGTTTCTCATGGAGTTTTGGTCTATTGCAAAAAGAAAAAAACAAAATAACAGTAAATTTCAGAGATCATCATCAGCATTAAATGGGCTCTCTATAATTTATAAATATACACTGTGACATAAATCACAAGCCTTGCATATTGTATTGGGTTAGGTAAATGCATTATTTTTTGAAAAAGCATCTAATTGCTCTCATTCTAGTTGAACGCATTTTGTAACATGTCTCCATTTAGATGTCCCCCTTTTGTCTGTAAAGATTAGTTTAATTTTCTCAATTTTTTTAATTCTTTTCTGGGTTATATTATTTATTTTTTGTACATATATTTTTGTATATTTTGTAATGCATGTATTTGGCTATGTTTTAACCTTTAAGTTGATATACCTGTTAGGATACAAGGGAGTTGAAACTGTGTCAAGTTTGCTGTCAGTAATTCTCATTGCAATATCATCATTCATTGCATGTAGGTACAGTATATTATTTTATAGAGTGGATAATCTCTATTGATATCTTGGAAAATCCTGATGTATTTTATTTACATTTGCCTTGGAAAATGCTGTCATGGTAAAATTTATTGAATGGAATTGGGATATATGAGGTCACTGGGGATTTCAGTTAAAATGTTGGAGTTTCAGAATTTGAGCCAGTTTATTGAAGCTGTTGTAAGTAAGTTCCTTAAGGAACAATACATTTTTGCATTTCATTCTTAATTTTTAATTTGCTTTTAAGCTTTCAGTAAGATTCAAACCACATAATCATCTGAAGTGTACAATGAGCAAGCCGTATAAAGAACACCTCAGATATTTGTGACATGCCCAGATGTTTTGTTTCTGTTCCATGAATTACCACAGCATTTCCTTAAGTTCTTGCACTTACAACTTCAACAAGTTCATCCCAGTCTTATCAGCCACAAAGTTATTTTCACATGGTCATGATAATGGGATGAATTTAATTATTTTTAATGAAGATGATTTACCCAGTTGAATTTGCAGACATATTTTATTAATTTTATTTGAATGCTTGGAATGATTTTTTACCAGTTTTATTTTCTATTCGGTTATTTTATGATTTGCACTGTTTATTGTAAACAAGGTTTTGTTGTTTGTCTTTATGTATGTTTCTTCTGATATTAGTAAACTGTAAATTTTCTATATTATTATATCTATTAGTTTTTAATTTATTTTAAAATTGGTAATACTGATTCGTTGACTGATATTACCTACACTTGTGTTAAATTTGGCATTTTTTCCATTTGTTAGTTTGCATCCCGAATGTTTTACATTGTTGTCATAAGTTTGGTACACAGTCATGGGAAAATAGTTTGGTTTTCATATGATATTCTGTAAAAGTTTTTCAAGATTATTTGATTGTTATCAATAATATTTAAGTTCTTTTAGTTACGTGTTCACTATGTTCACGTTACACAAAATTTATGTACAGATTCCACATGTTTTAGCCAGAGAAGTCAGTAGGTGTGAAGCATCATCAGTGAGTGCATGTGTTGTCTACCTGCAGGTTATCAGGGATACCAAGGGGGGCAGTATCATGGTTACCAGGGTATGCAGAGTGGCTATGGTCAGGGGGGTTATCCGAACTCCGGCTACCCTCCAGATGGGCGTGCCTATCCTCCACCAGGACCACCTAACCACCAGGGCAACTATCAGGGGAACTACCAACAACCTGGGAGCTACCAGCGGCCGGCTTATGCCCCAGGCCAGCCTGGCTACCAACAAGACCAGTATCCGGTAGGTTGGATGAGAATCTGTGTATTACACACTAACCTTAGCTTGGAGACTGTACTATTTTCTCCCTTGTGTCTTTTTAAATTCCCTCTTAGTGAAGTATTGTTGCTCTATTATATCTAAAGAGTTGTGTATATTTTACAATACATTGCTTGCTTATTTATCTTTTTATAAGCTTATTCCTTATCCCCATTTGTGTATGAATAACAGCATTCATTTATAGGCATTCTTGTTGACCAGTTGGCCCAAAACTTTTAGTTTTGTTGAATAATATTAGCTGTGCTCACACAAAGATCAGTTCAGTTACACATGTATGTTTTTATGTGACTATTAATGTATGTGTATACAATAAGTTTTAATTTGATTAGCATCATCATTTTATCTTGTAAATTATCTTGTGTGACTACAGCTGCTGCCTGCTTTATACCCAGCTATTAAATAATTATTAACTTATTTCCACGTTGACCTCTATTTGATTAAATCTTGTGTAGGCCTAATTTTTTTGTACTATCTTGTTTTGCTTCGAGTATTAGCTTGTATGCAATGATTAAAACCATCCATCCCCAATCCTTCTTCATTTTATCATCATTTGACAAATTCAGTAGTGGAGTTTTTGACTAAATCTTAGTATATATGCTTAAAATGAAAAGAGTGTATTACTTTCAGCATTTTAGAAAAACCAAACACTACAATTTCATTCAATTATTGCCTTCTTCACTAAATAAAATAATAAGTATTTTTATGTATTTATTGAAAAAATCATTCTGCCTTAGTTTCATGGCAGTTATTTTGCATAAAATGCAAGAATATTCAATTTTGCCAAGATTTTGTTGGTGTCATATCTGGAGAAAGGTAATTAACCTGGAAAATTAATGTCTTGAACAGGATAATATTTTGTGGATTTTTTTTCTTACGTGATTCAGTATTAAGTTAGATTTAGATTAAAATACAACTCCACTATTGAATGTGTGTAGCCACACTTGGTAGCGTAGTGTTGCTTGTAGACTGAGTTGGATGCCATGTATTGTAGATGGGAAGTAGCGGCAGCAACTACGGCAACTCCCAATTGGCCAAACAACTGCTGAATCCTCCGCGCAGCACGGCCCCCGTTTTTCAAGTATGTTTTTTTTATGGTATGGAGTGATACATTAAGCTAAATCACATTGGATTATATTAATCTGCACACTACCAAATTCCAGAGCAAGATTGCATTAGACTTCTTTGCATAAGCACAACATTTTGGGTACATTAACCTCTATTCTGAAAACCCTATACGCTTGGAGGCTCCATAAAATTAACATTCACAAATCACCAACTAGGGATTTTTCTTTTAAATTATGATCCACTACCTACAATATAAAAATGACTAATGGCATTCATTTACTTATTTTTAATGCTTCAACAGATGGATATTTAAGCTAAACTAATATTTTAATTATTTGCTTTAATACAACAGGATTTTCCCACACATTTTAATTAGTTCTTGTTTGTTCTTTTAGATTTTGAATATCTGCTATACTTCACCGTAGTGGGGGGTTCTGAGGTAAACCATATAACATGAGCCTTGCTTGACATATTCCCATCAAAGGGGAGAGGGAGGAGAGGTCCTTATTGCTGGTGATGTATTGAGCCTGGATATTGGGTATGTCCTTCCCTTCCCTGGTGTAAACTTCATTATCCTCACCGCTCCCATTTTTGAGGGGCTGTGTGACCCTTATGGGTTTAGTGCTTTCCCATGAATATAATAATAATACCTGTTTGCCATTATGACACAGTTCATACAGTGTCTTGTGTTTATTCTATCCTTCCTTCAACATTGTCCTTGCACTTCACTTTTTTGCCTTGTTTCTTTGTTATTAAAAATCTCTAGTTTGTGATTCTCTTGAAACATATATTAGCTTCTTTTGCTTCTATGTTTTTATCAGTAGATTTTTCTTAAGTGGACAAGATCCACAGATAAAACATTTAGATAAAATTTACTGTTAATTTTTAATCAAATTAAAATATTGAAATATAAATATAAATATTGAGATATAAATGTATTAATTCAAGGATTATGTGGAGTAAAATAAGGGTTGGATGTGAAAAGTGGGTTATAGTAAGCATTTATGCACCTAGAGAACAAAGAAGTGTAGAGAAGAGACAGAGATTTTTGGGAAATGTTGAGTGAATGCATGGGGAGTTTTGAACCAAGTGTGAGAGTACTTGTGATTGGGGATTTCAATACTACAGTGGGTAAAAATGTTGTGGAGGGAGTAGTAGGTAAATTTGGGGTGCCAGGGGTAAATGAAAATGGGGAGCCTTTAATTGAGCTGTCTTGCCAGAAGGGTGTTTTACAGTACAGTTTTTAAGCTGCAACATCAACACCCCTCCTTCAGAGTGCAGGCACTGTACTTCCCATCTCCAGGACTCAAGTCCGGCCTGCTGGTTTCCCTGAATCCCTTCATAAATGTTACTTTGCTCACACTCCAACAGCACATCAAGTATTAAAAACCATTTGTCTCCATTCACTCCTATTAAACACGCTCATGCATGCCTGCTGGAAGTCCAAGTTCCTCACACACAAAACCTCCTTTACCCCCTCCCTCCAACCTTTCCTAGGCCGACCCCTACCCCGCCTTCCTTCTGCTACAGACTGATACACTCTTGAAGTCATTCTGTTTCGCTCCACTCTCTCTGCATGTCCAAACCACCTCAACAACCCTTCCTCAGCCCTCTGGACAACAGTTTTGGCAATCCCGCACCTCCTCCTAACTTCCAAACTACGAATTCTCTGCATTATATTCACACCACACATTGCCCTCAGACATGACATCTCCACTGCCTCCAGCCTTCTCCTCGCTGCAACATTCATCACCCATGCTTCACACCCATATAAGAGCATTGATAAAACTATACTCTCATACATTTCCCTCTTTGCCTCCAAGGACAAAGTTCTTCGTCTCCACAGACTCCTAAGTGCACCGCTCACCCTTTTCCCCTCATCAATTCTATGATTCACCTCATCTTTCATAGATCCATCTGCTGACACATCCACTCCCAAATATCTGAACACATTCACCTCCTCCATACTCTCTCCCTCCAATCTGATATCCAATCTTTCATCACCTAATCTTTTTGTTATCCTCATAACCTTACTCTTTTCTGTATTCACTTTTAATTTTCTTCTTTTGCATACCTTACCAAATTCATCCACCAACCTCTGCAACTTCTCTTCAGAATCTCCCAAGAGCACAGTGTCATCAGCAAAGAGCAACTGTGACAACTCCCACTTTGTGTGATTCTTTATCTTTTAACCCTTTGACTGTCGCGGCCGTATATATACGTCTTCGGAGGTACCGTGTTTGACGTATATATACTCATAAATTCTAGCGGCTTCAAATCAAGAAGGAGAAAGCTGGTAGGCCCACATGTGAGAGAATGGGTCTGTGTGGTCAGTGTGCACCATATAAAAAAATTCCTGGAGCACGCAGTGCATAATGAGAAAAAAAAAACTGACCGTTTTTTTAATTAAAATGCCGACTTTGTGATCTATTTTCGTATAGTATTTATGGTTGTATTCTCGTTTTCTTGGTCTCATTTGATAGAATGGAAAACATATTATAGAAATAGAGGTGATTTTGATTGATTTTACTATAAAAAGAACCTAGAAATGGAGCTCAAAGTAGGGGAAATGTTTGATTTTTGCCGATGTTCAAAAGTAAACAAATGATGTCATTGTCCAATAAATGTCCAACTAGCCATTCTAATATGCAGTCAGCAATGGGTTGATGTTATTTACACAATTATTACAGTATTGCAGCAGTCTGCATGATAGTAAATCTTCTATTTTTTGTTTGAATAAAAATTCAAAATAGAAAGCAAGAATAATATCAGAGGGGCCTGGAGACATGACTGATGAACAAAGAAAATGTTATTTTAGAGCCAGGAATGTCTGCATTGTTCATTCTGGACCTTATTTTGAAATTGTCATATTTTTTTATTTTCGTGAAATTGGCCAAATTGCAAATTTCTGACCACATTATTGGGTAGTTGAAATTGGTAAATGGGCAGCTTCTTGTACTCAATCGATAGAAAAAACGGAGTTCTAAAGAAATAGCTATGAGTTTGGTCGACTGGAACAATGGAATTAGCCGAAAATAGGGCTCAAAGTGGGTGAAATTGCCGATTTGTAAATATCGCTGAGGTCGCTAACTTCGCGAGAGCGTAATTCCGCCAGTTTTCCATCAAATTTCATTTTTTGGGGGTCATTACAATCGGGAAAAGATTCTCTATCATTTCATTTTTTTTTTTTTTTTTTTTTTTTTTTTGAAATTTTGCGACACCAGGAGACACCTCAGGATTGGGGGTTGCAACAGTCAAGGGGCTAACTCCACGCCTCTTGCCAAGACCCTCACATTTACTTCTCTTACAACCCCATCTATAAATATATTAAACAACCATGGTGACATCACACATCCTTGTCTAAGGCCTACTTTTACTGGGAAATAATCTCCCTCTTTCCTACATACTCTAACTTGAGCCTCACTATCCTCGTGAAAACTCTTCACTGCTTTCAGTAACCTACCTCCTACACCATACACCTGCAACATCTGCCACATTGCCCCCATATCCACCCTGTCATACGCCTTTTCCAAATGCATAAATGCCACAAAAACCTCTTTAGCCTTATCTAAATACTGTTCAATTATATGTTTCACTGTAAACACCTGGTCCACACACCCCCTTCCTTTCCTAAAGCCTCCTTGTTCATCTGCTATCCTATTCTCTGTCTTACTCTTAATTCTTTCAATAATAACTCTACCATACACTTTACCAGGTATACTCAACAGACTTATCCCACTATAATTTTTGCACTCTCTTTTGTCCCCTTTGCCTTTATACAAAGGAACTATGCATGCTCTCTGCCAATCCCCAGGTACCTTACCCTCTTCCATACATTTATTAAATAATTGCACCAACCACTCCAAAACTATATCCCCACCTGCTTTTAACATTTCTATCTTTATCCCATCAATCCCGGCTGCTTTACCCCCTTTCATTTTACCTACTGCCTCACGAACTTCCCCCACACTCACAACTGGCTCTTCCTCACTCCTACAAGATGTTATTCCTCCTTGCCCTATACACAAAATCACAGCTTCCCTATCTTCATCAACATTTAACAATTCCTCAAAATATTCCTTCCATCTTCCCAATATAACGAGTTTTTTTTGGTAGTGGGGAGTTAATGATATACGTCTTCGGAGGCTTCTTACTTTATTGTTAAGTAGTGGTGGGTTCACAGGCTTGTGTTGTGCCCATGGCCCGGGCAGGGCCATCCCACGAGAGAGAGCTACTAGTACTTGTGTCTTCCTGCTAGGCCGCTGTGTGAGTGAGGGAGAGGCATGGGCCGGCAGGCTGGCGTGCCTACCTAGAGGCCTGGCTACAGAGGGCAGCACCTGAGTGGTGCAAAATATGAACTAAGCTGGCAGACAGCATGGGCTGTCTGTGCAGACAGTACAGGCTGTCTACATACGCTCGGCCACCTACCGTGCGTCGTCCCGACGCGACAATACTGGTGGTAAAAGAAACTCGGTCTCTCTCTCGTAGGAACAGGGCACAGAACACAAAATAAAAACATATATATATACATATGGACATGGAAAAAAAACTTCCTACAGGGAGGGAAGAAAAAACATGTGGGGTGTGGTAAACAATCGTGGTCATAGGCATGAGCGTTGAAGGGCATCACTGCACGCCTTCCTGCGTCTGGACAGATACTGCAACACAGGAGAAATCGCTGCGGCTGAGCTGTGACCATAACAGGTTACGGTCTCCTCTGGAACGGTGAAGCAGTCATCGTAGGAGTCGCTGCAGGTTTTCACTCAACCTGGGGCACGACATGCTGGTGCCCTCGAGTGAGGCGTCGACAAAACTCGGCAACTGGGCAGGACTTCTGGCAGCGACTCAGGAGGACACTTCTCGACTGGTACTGTCGCTGGACTGTCACTGCCGGCGAGCGTGGAGCGAGTTGTGGAGCGAGTCGTGGCAGAGACGACTGGGCGAAACATCTGGGAGTCGTAACATCATACACCAGACTGCAGTGAGCGAGCTAGCAGTCAAAGTGACATCATC